TTTTTAACAGGGACTAAGTTTTAAGAGACGTTAAATCCTAACGTTAGGATTAGGCTGTACCTTATATTTCTCCATGATTTTAAGTGATCGTTTTCACAATAGCTGCAATAGCAAGGAATTGGTGTCAAAAAGCAAAACTAATTTAGGGATTAGCCCTGAGGGAATTGAGCAATTAAAGTATCTGTGGAGTTAAGCACAAGGCATGTACCATGTGTCAACTCGATCGAATGCCTGCTCTTAGTCTATAGCAAAGGGGAGTTACTGAGGTTTAGGCGAGTGCATTTCTACCTTGTGCTTTCTAAAGCTTGAAGGGACGCACGTGGACTTGTATGTTGGAATATGTATGTGTATGTTGCAGGCAAATTTGTCTTGCAGCACTGGTTTAAGTTGGAGCTCACATAATTTGAGTTACCATGATTTAGCAAGTCTGAGCTATCTGTGTGCTTGTAGCTGCTGCAAATACAGAATTTTTAAGTTCAGCCGAGATCTCAGTAAAAGAAAGCTGTGTTATCTTGCAATTGGAGGGGGTTAAATGCACGCATGTGACAACGTGGTAACTTTTTAAAGCTCAGTAGGTGGCCGGTGGTCTGTTAAAGCTGCTCACTGAAAAGCCAGTTGCCTCCACAGGGCTGGGTTTACAGTCCCTGTTTGAGCATCCGCTAGCGCTGCGGAGCAGGATTTCATACCCTTCCTCTTCCCGGTCTCTGGTTACGTAGAAAACCTTATTTAATTTGATGCATTAATACAAGCGAAAGCCAATTTCCCAGAAGAAAGGAAGTTAGGACATCTGTTTAAAAGAATACAGTTGCTAAAGAAAAATGGCTTACTAGAAGAATACCAGAGCACTGCTGGGAAAGCTGATATAACAACATTTACCAGTATCTAATGGTGGCTTTCATCAGCGGAGCCGACTTCAGTTTAATTTCCGTGAGCGTTGTTTTATATCCCTTAGCTTTCCATCACTGGCCGCTGACAGCAGTGAGCTGGCAATCCCGTTCAGTCATAATCCTTGATTTCAGTCATGGGTTTGGGTTTATTTATTTATTTTTTTTTAAGGGGTTTCTTTATAATTTCCCTGCTTGCCCACCTATATAGAAAGAAGCTGCCCCCAAGGTGTTGTGCTCCTCCTCTCATCTCCAAGATGCGCTACGTTTGCTTCGCTCTTCCCTGACCGTCTGATGTGTGCGGTGCTGGTGAGGGAAGGCTGGGTCTTGTCTTGTCTGGTTTGCAGGACAATCTGACTGCTTTGGTCCCCGTGGAAATGGGGCCACGTCAGAGTGGTGGTTTTTAACCGTAAAATAGGTGTTCCATCATCTAATGCTAAACTACAGATTCTGATCTCCATGTTCATAGCTTTCTGATAGCTGCTTGTCAGCCTCTGCAGGGTGAATTGATGGTCTTCAGCGCAGCTGGGCCTTGTTTCTAGAAGAGGACAATGCCTGAATAGGTTTGGAAAGGGAACCTCAGGGGCCCTTACCAGTGGGGAACCTTGGGCTGTTGCTGTTTAAGGCATGCGTATGGCCTGTGGATGAATATGTGTGGTGACACCGAGCCGTTTTGAAAGAACTGGATGACATTAAAGCTCCCGAGTTGTTAAGCTGCCAACTTACACTTGAGTAAGAGGGGGGGCAGTTTGATTCAGTGGATGGAAATCCAGCCCGGTCATCTGGATCTACTGCAGAACCTTGAGCAATGGACTTAATTCCTGTATCTGGCATGTACTCCTTGAACCCAAAATGCTCATTTCCAGCAATGCAGTGGGAAGGCTGCGGCGGGGAAGTCTCTGCTCTTTGGTACACGGGCTTAACCATCATCATCTGTTCTTCTTTTCTTTTAATCAGTGACTGAGAAGGTTTACGAGAGTGAATCCTGTACGGATAGCGAGGATGACTTCGCCAAATCCAGGCCACCAGCTGCACATAAACAGCCCGCGCTGCCTCTGAAGAAAGAACCAAAGGAAGAAAGGAAGAACCTGAAGAAAGGGGCAGCTACTGCCAACAGAGCCAACAAACAGGTCTCCATCATAGGGTTTTTTCAGAAGAAATGAACTGGGTCTTTCTCCTGGTCCTCTTGGGAGCGTTGCTCTTTTTGCGTGGCTTTCTGAAAGCTGCTGCGCTGGAGGAGAACGACATGCAATCTTCAGTTACGTAAGATATCTTGCTTACTGTGTAAGTAAGCCCTCTGGACTAGATTTTGTATCAGGGGAAAAAAAAGTTGTATTTGTTACTGCAATAATTTCAGTCATCTTTACTAAGCAGCATGGGAATCGGCAGCTAGAAGCGAAATCGAGGGGAACTCTTGAAATCTTGAAAGACTCTTAATCTATTCACATGAAATTTTATTTTTTTAATACAGCCTTTTCACCTGTTTGGTGCTGAAGGCCTGTTCCACGAGTGGTAGATGGGCTAAATTAGGAGTTGAGTTGTGGCATTTCCCCCTCTCCCCCTCATCTTTTTACACCCCTGGCTCTCCAGGTCGATCTAAGCGTTCACGTTGGTTAGACGCTGTAACATAGCAGGTCTTCAGGCAGACGCACAAATACCAAACATCTGCTTCAGCTTTAGCTGAATGAAGGGAACTTAATTTCCCCCCTAAGACCGGTAAATAGTTTTTGCTCTGCCTTTCATAATTTTTTTTGGACAAAGCAGTGCGTACAAAATTCTCTTACTCTTTTCTTCCTTGAACGTATCCTCTGTACATTGCTCAGATGCCTAATTACAGACCGGGGTGCTGTTGGTGCTCTGTCTTTGCAAAAACATCTTGGAGGCTTCCCACACAATTGGCTCCAGTGTAACTGGGGGAAGGCTTCGCTGTTATTGGGAAAGCGACTGTATCTCTAACCTTGAAGGTCAGCGAGTCAAAGGGAAGGGTGATTAGAGGCCACTTCTGATAACACCAGTCAGGTACCTGCTGTCGTGGTCTGTGAAGAATTGCACGCTGCTTTTTGTGGCTTTGTAGGTTTTGGTTTGCCTGAAGGGTGTGTTTTTGTTTTTGTTTTTCAATGGGCATAAACCAGACAACAGGAGAGTTGTTTTCTAGGACATCTCATCGTCTGCCTGCTGACGGAAGTGTGTCACAGCAAATGGTCCTGAGGAACTGGTTATTGGGGGTTAATAAAGCACCGCAGTCCGGTTAATCGGAGACGAGGCGTCGCTTTGGATGCCTCCTGGTTTTCTGGTGCTGAATTTGGTCAATATGAATTTGGTCAATATGTATAAAAGGCCAGATTTTCCAGAGGATGAGTGCTGAGCACTTCTGAAGCTTGGCCTGGCGAGGGCTCCTAAGTGGGCAACTGATGTCATCAGTGGTTGTTTCTGAGTGGCGTTAGGCCAACGTACGTATGGATATGTATGTGCGTGTTGGTTTATAAAGTGTTTGTGGTTGGCAGAAAGGTAGATAAAGTCTGAAGAGCGTGAACCAAGGAAGAAATGTCTTCAGGCAGCCAGCGGAAAGTATCCCGACCTGTGGCTGGTAAAAGGGCCAACCGAGTGTATTTACTCAAGTCGTTCTGACCAGATCAGGTTGGTGACTCGAAAAATTTGAACACGCACCTAATAGTGACCAACAGTTGGCTCGATTTGGAGTCACGTCACCCTAGGCAGCTTGCACCCTCGTTAGATGGGAGAGGATCCCCTTAAAACCAGCAGCGTCTCTGGATTTGTGCCCAGGCTTGGGTCCTGGCTGGGTGGCTTCAGCCGCTCGCTGCGTGCATCGCTGCTGTCGGGGCTGTTTGAGGGTAACCTCGTAGCTCAGCACCCTCCCCGTGCACGTTAAGAACTTAAACTCTGGGCTTTCTGAACCGGAGACGTGTAGGAAAAATAACGGGAAGATGGGTGAGGGAGGGCAGAATTGGCACGGTACTCGCCAAACACAGAGCCTGCTGCACAAGCTGAAAAAGGGTTTCATGCTCTCGTGGTGACGTGGGCAGCAGAGGTGAAAGAATGAACAACCTTGTTCTGACTTTTTATGAAGAAAATTTAACTGTTCAAAAAAAAAAAAAATATACTGCTGTAGCGTTTCTGTTTTTCTTGGTAGAATTGGGGGTGTATTTTGAAAAGTAATGATAAGTAACAAAACCCCATTAAATAACAGACTTTTCTTTTGTCCTTGCTATTTAAATGACCTGCTACTTCCCGATTTCCAGTGGTTGCTGTGGCATTTGGCTGCGTGGAAGAATATCACTGGTGAAGTGGGTAAAGAGTTCTTCCATCGAAACCAGGGCTGGAAGCACTAACCCGAGCGTTTTCCAGCATCTGAACTGAGGGTGAGAACATCTCAAACGATCAGGATCTGTTCTGAATTGATCCCTTGAGTCTGGTTTCTGTGGCAGATGTTGACAGGACGTGGTGTCCCAGTGCTCCTGCACCTCACCTCTGCCGTGGTCTAGCTGGAGCTCGCTGCTCCACCCCGACTCCCTCTATAACCAGATCAACGTCATAAGCGACTTCCTCAGGAAAATGACTTAATGTCTGAAGAAGCAGGACATAGGCGAACTGCAGACTTCCAAAAATCATGAAACTGTGTGGGAGCAGGGAACGGGGCTGGGGCCCCGAGCTGCTGCTTAGAGAAGGTTCCCTCCGCCTGCCGTGGGCAGATGTCGCCCCTTTGGCACCCAGTGGCTGGGGGAGGGCAGCGCCGAGCCAGGCGCCGGCTCTCGGAGCAAGGAGCACATGTCCTGCCTGGACACTGGCTCAAAACTCGGTACTGATGCTGCTCAGGGTCCAAAACCTGGAGATGTAGAAATCTTTTGGGGATTTCCTCTCCTCTTCCCCCTGCACCTCCTTTCTGACCACATTTGCACCCTCAGAAGAGCAACGCCTCCAAAGAGGCAGCGGGAGAGGATGTTTGTCGACGCAATTTTCTCTTCTAAATAGCGCGGTTGGTAGTGTTTCTTTGCTCGGGCTCCCTCAAAGCCCTTTTCCAGACAGAGGGAGCTTCCTCCTTGTTTTCCAAGCGGGGTGAGAAGCCGAAGAAGTCGCACCGTCCGATATTCTGGGGCAAAACTATTGATGCGCCAGGCTCCCGTTGGCCGAAGTGCCTCTGAACCAGCAACCAGGATAGAAATCCTGCTCCTAGGGATTAAAAAAACCCATCCCCATCCCTTGTTTGGGAGGCAGCTGAGCTGATTTACAGCCCTCCTTCCCGCGAGACAGAGCCTGCTGGGGGAAAAAAACCTCCCCCCGTTTCCCGCTCCGGGGCTGCCTGGCCTTTATCTAATTAAAGAAAAACAGAGGAGGGATCCGAGGAAGCGCTGCTGGGTGCCAAGGTGGGACAACAAAGGGCGAGCAGCACAGCCCAGCGGGGCAGGAGGGCGTCCCGGCGGCCTGCGGGGAATTGTTTTGCTCTCTGAACAGGGGATATGCCAGCTCGGCCGCAGATACCGGAGCGGGGAGCGCGGAGCAGCAGAGCCTTATAAGGAAGCAAAACGCTGCTCGGCGAGGCCGGGGAGCGGGCGCTTGCCAGCGCCGTGCGTCAGCGCCTCGCTTCTCCCTGGGGTGCATGTGGGGTGCTGCTGGGCTGGATCCGGGGCACCCCCTGCCCCACTGGGGTCCCGCTTCGGTGGCAGCGGCTCGCTTGTGGCTGCAGCCCGTGATGCCGAGAGCCCCGGGGAAGCTCGAGGGTGGCTCTTGCCCCGTCTGTCCCTCCCAAGCACTGTCCTGCGCCAGGGAAGGATTTAAAAAGCGCTAAAGGCGATGGTTAAAATCAGCCCCAGGGCGTGCGATGCTGCTGGCTTTACCTTGCTTTGGGTTATTTTTTTTTTTTTTCTTTCCTCAAGGCACATAGAGCTGAAGGGAAAAGGGGTTGTGCACGTGGCACTGGGCGGACAAGATCCCCTCTGGTTTTTTGCTCCACTCTCCTTCCAAAATCAGCCCCTCCTCACCGGTGCGAGGGTTCTGCCCATCCCCTGTCAGAGCAAACAGTAAAGCTCCTCGTGGCCGTGGCATCCCCGTCCTGAGGAAACTGCTGCCGAACCAGCCCACGATGGCTTCTTTGAGCGTTGGAAAAAAAGCCCTGGAGATGTGGGGAGCTTGGAGAGCGCTCCCAAAGAACCACAATTTCCAGCCCCGGGGGGCTTATGATGCTTTGAAGACCTAAACCATCCTTCCAGGCACCACGTGATCCGACAGCTCTGCGAGGTGAAGGCAGGTGCCTGAGATGAATTCAGGGTTGTGACTTGCTCCTACAGATGCTGCTTCAGATATTTTGGTGGCTTCTTTTGAGAAGATGGAGATGGGCCTGCTGATCCCACTCAGCTGAGGGGCAGGGACCGGGGTGGAGGATGGGTTAAATGCAGAGCAGTGGGGCTGAAGTCCAAGTGAGTTTTAGTAAAGTGCCCCATGGAAGACTCT